CTTGTCTATTCATTCTTGAGGCATTGGTTAATAAGTATTTCCAATTCATAGGCATTGTGGTAGGTGCTAGGAATGTAAGAATGAGGAATGCTTGGGCCTTGCCCCCTAGGTGCTTATAGTCTAGCATTTGAGGAAAAAAGAAATACACAGGAAATAACACATAATAGCAATTCCCATGAAACAGAAGTTTTTACTTGACTACAGATTCACTTCTATAAATTCAGATCAAGGAAGGAAGTACATTCAGTATATTTGCAAATAACAGGTAGAGACTTATAATCTCTATTTTAAGAGAAATCCTGAGTAACCAGGATTGTTAAATGTTTAGCTTCAAAAAAAAAGATATTTAACTTGAAAAAAGATTTAGGAAGTAATAGTATTGTTGAGCTGTTTAAGGGTTTTTCCTGGGAAATGAAAATTTGATTAATCTGCATAGCTTCAGACAGCAGAACTTGGATCACTGACTGAAAATTAGAGTGAAACTTACTTTTATTCATCAAAAGGGAAATTTCGTAGCTTATAGTTAGTTATACGAGATGAAAAGGGCTGCCTTATAAGAATTCATGTATTTAATAATATATCAAGGAAAGTGTGGAGGTAACCCTATAAGGAAAGCAGGTTAGGTTAAGTAAGTTCTAACATTAGGTCTAACATGCTATATTATTAATATTGTAGTCATTTGATTTAGTAGAAAAAATATGTATTTCTAATTTTCCCATGTGCAAAAAATACAAATATTATATTCTAATCTATTATTGAAAAAATACTAGCACAAATCACTCTTGAGAATATAATTGAACTTCTCAATATGCACCTAAAATATAGAAATATGTTCTAAAGATTTATTTCTATCCAAGAGAAATATTATCAGAAATATTATGTCTACTACATCAAAACAGACAGGAAAGTCATATGAAAGGTCTATGTCAAAAAGTTTCAAAAATAGTATCATGATTTATGTGTTGTGTTTGTGGACCTAACCAGAACATTTGATTCCGTTAACCAAGTTTAGTACGTCGGCAACCCTTTGAAAGATTGACTCTTCAGAGAAGGTCAAAATATTTGCAGGCTCTGTGAAGAAATTATAGAGTAGTAGGTATGAGAGGAGCAAACCATATTTTTGAGTATTTATTATTTCTAGTAATAATTAACATTATCTTTGAGTGTTTTATTGTTAGTAATGTTACATTAATTTATATAAAATAATTATACAGTGATTTATTTTATTTTTTTTTACAAAAGCAAAATGCTGATAATTATTGTTCAAGATCCCATGTATTTTTTGGCACATGTTCATTTCTATAACTATAAAATATGTGCTTAAAACTCTCCCCAGTTAACACTTATTCATCCTTTGACACCTTGCTGAATGAATTTATAGATAATTATTTTGTCTTAGAACCATTCTTCCTCACTGTGCTACTGTTAAATACGGAATGACTGTTTTCTTGCTAAAATATAGTGGTTCCTTTGGATGGCTGAGTTCAAGAGAGGACCATGATATTTAAATCAATATGAAAATACAACAAATCATCTTGCCCCGCTCACCACCTTTTCTGTCAAATCATTAGATTTGAATCTTGAACTTTTGCATCCTAAGAAGCCTAACCAGTTTTATCTATACTTCCTAGAAAGAGCATTCATTCAGTCATTCATTCAAAATAGTCATTGAATGTCTACGATGTCTCAATCACAGTGTTGAATCGAAGGATCATTTAGCCCAGACTTAGGGCATCAAGGAATATTGATCAGAGAAGGTAGCATTAACAATGAGAGCTGAAATAAATAGTTGCTAGCCAGGTAAAGGGGAGAAAAAACACTTCAGAAAAGGGATTTTCATATGAAAAGTCCCAGAAGTAAGAGAAAGCATTACATAATTTGAGAATTTGGCTTTAGCGTAGTGTGCAAAGGTTATGGTAGCTAGATGTAAGCCTGGATGGGTAACTAGGGCCAGATTGTAAAGGTCTTTCTTGCCATGCTAGAGTCTGTCATTCTTCCTGAGGTCAATGGGGAACCTGTGCAGGCTTTCAAGCAAGAAAGTGGCATGGCTTGATATGTTCTGTAGAGTGGTCACTCTGATTGTAGTGTGGGGAAATTACTGGACCAGAACATTTTAAAGCAGGATCTTTAGCTGATCTAATAAGATAAAAGATGGCAATGGCCAGATAAAAACAGTAGCAGCAAGGAAGTAGAGAAACAGTAATAGAATCATGGAATTACGGTGATCAAATAGATACCTGGGATGAGGGAGGCCTCTACGAGCTATCCAAGAAGCAATTAGAAATATAAGTCTAGAAATCATTAGCGATACCTGGGCTGAATATATATAATTTACAGTTTGGGGCACATGATAGCTGAAGTTACAGTAATGGATGAAATCACCAAGGTAGAAGGTATAGGCAAGAAAGAGATGAGAGTTAAAGGTAGAATCAAGGACACCAGTCTCACTAAACAGAAAGAGAGTGAAGAGTCCATGAAGAAGAAGAAAAAAGAGAAGCCATAGAAGTAGGAGAGAAATCAATCAATTGTACTATTAAGAAACCACAAGGAGAGTTATTTCAAAGAAAGAGTGGCCACAAATATCAGCTGCCGGAGAAAGTTCATATATCACGAAGACTGATTATTGTCAGTAAGTTTTAATTTAGCAACATAGATTTTATGCATGAGCCTGGAAACGTGTTTCATGTGAAATCAGAAGCCTGTTTAAAGGATGAATGGGAGATGAGGAATTAAAGACGCAGGAATGTAAACGATGCTTTTAAAAAGCTCATCAAAGATAGCAGGAAAGTGGCCAAAGAACTTGAGACCTCAGAGGATTTTTTTTTTTTAAGATAGGAAAGATCTGGCCCACCTCAAGTGTCAATGGGAAGAAGCCAGCAAGAAAGGAGGAAATGCAGATGCTGGAGAAAATGGGAGGCGAGGGCAAGGAAATCAGAGTTTAAGAGGAGAGTCCCTTTAGACAAAGGTCAAAACACCACTTCCTATGGACATAAATAAATATTAAAGGATGGAAAATAATGCAGGCAAGAGAGTGAGTTGTTTGGCTCTGAGGGAGCACCGAAAGGAGGAATTTCTCTTCTCTGAAAATAAGGGCTATCCTCTGCTGAAAGGATGGTGGAGAATTAGAATATATGAGAATTGTATCCTACTATATCGAAAAACTTGATTTTACATTAAGGTATGAATTACATCTGCAAGTGACACGATATGTTTTCAAATGCATCACTAAAAATGTAAAAGAAAACTTCAGTGGTCTAAAATTCATTGAGGTAATGTTAATGTTATGGTTTCTCCTCCTGGGAATAAAATAAACTAACTCTCAAAAGGAGTGAATAGAAGTTCTAAAAACTAATTTTAATTCCATTGAAATTTCTGTAGAAAAAATTATTTCAGTTACTGTTTATCATGAATGACCACACACCGTACCAAATATTGTCTGGCCATTAGAAAACACATGAAAAATATACAGTATATGTGCTTCTTGATTAAGTGAAGCGAAGAGCCCAGCATATAGGATATGGTTCACATACAGTATAGAGCCTAGAGGTGTCTCTGTGGCACCAGCTGAGTTAATCAAGAGACTGGTTCACTATACACCTGTTTTGTAACCGACTTTTTTGCTTCCCAACTTTTCTTTTGATATTATTTATAAGTCACCCTCTGACCACTCCAAATCCTGTCTTAGAAAGTCAAGCTAAAATCCAATTCAAAATTCCTTCTATTTTCTCCTGTTTCTCAATTTCCAAAGTCAAAGTTACATTTCCACTAAACAGTCAATATTGCACTCTTCATGTGCAATCTGAAGAACAAAATAAATGAACAAACAAAATAGAAATAGAGAACAGACTGATGGTTGCCAGAGAAGAAGGGTTTTGGGGGTCTGGATGCAAACGTTGAAGATATTAAGAAGTACTAATATAGTCACATGAATGTAAAGTACAGCATAGGATGCTGTAGTCAATAATATTGTAAGAATGCTGTATTGTGCTAGGTGAGTAGAATGTTATTTTACTGTTTCCCCTCACTTGATTCCTCTCAGTCCCTGTCTCAGTGCCTGGCACGTAGCTCTTCCTCAGTTGTTATTGCATATATGAATCTTATGTGTTAAATACAATTCTACTTTATGAGAATTTTAATTTCAAAACTGTTTGTACACTATTCTGAAACTATTCTAATTTCCTTATGTAATTGTCTTAAAGCCTATTACCCAGTGCCTCTTATGCAAACATGAAAAAGAAAATATTGACTGAAATTCCTAGTTTCAGATTGGGTCCCCTCTCTCTAACCATTAACATTTGGTAAGAATTAGATGAATAACATTCTTTAGGTGGTAACTAAACTGACCTTTTTTTTTTTTCTTCTGTTGCCTCTTAAGAAATTTATGCATGGTTTGGTTTCAGAAAACCCACTGATGGGCCTGCAACAGGTCCCAAGATTTTATCCCTTTTCCAGCACTTTGTCAAGAAGAAATATTAATAGCCAAATGATATAATATTTTTTTTATTGTTCAAAATATTACAGATGTCTCTTTTTCTCCCCATTGACCCATTCTTCTCCACCCCACCCCCCTCCCCAGTCCCTCACCACACCATTGTCTGTGTCCTTGGGTTGTGCATATATGCGTATAAATTCTCTGGTAAATCTCTCCACCTTCATCCACCCACCCCCCTGCTTCTCTATATATTTCTGATATAATAAATTTTAGAAATTTATGAAGTTTATTTCTGACAAAGTAAGAGAAAAATTTATACAGAGATTCACATATGAAAAAGAGAACAGAAACTCTTGTCAGTATAGCTATAACAGCCCAGTGTTAGTTTCTCAAATGAAAGAACTTTAAAAATCTATACATATATCAAGAACTGAGTTTTCTGTCAATGGTGTGTGTGTGTTTGTGTGTGTTCACAAGAGTATGTACACTCATGGGTGCAGAACTGTATGATAAATTCCATTATAAATTTTATTGTATTAAAAACAAATTTCTCCCTTTTCCTTTACAGAACTGTCAGCATCACACTGCTGGTGACTTCTGTGAGCAATGTGCTATTGGGTACTACGGGATTGTCAAGGGATTGCCGAATGACTGTCAGCAATGTGCCTGCCCTCTGATTTCTCCCAGCAACAAGTAAGACAGAGAAATATTACCATGTTTCCCAGTCAGTAACACCATCTGTAGCACATGGGCTTGCAGATTTGGCTATATTTCTCCTGTAGACAAAAATCTCAATTTAAGACAGAGATTCTTTAACAGTATAAAAACAAGACAAAAGTGACCACTTAATACCTTACGGTTCATTTTTTCTTTAAAACCTTGTCCCAAGTAAATAACACTTATTAATTAAAATATAAATATAAATGTTAGCATATGTTTGTGAAATAAATGATATATGTTCAAATGTGCATAATTATATATTTTTATAAAGGCCTAGTGTGTGTATATAGCTCTGCCATAAATTCAGCTATGAAGGATTGTTCGGGTGCATATTATATCACTTTTTTGGCTGTTTCTATTCATTTTGTGTGTTTAAGTCACGATTGGTAAAGAATTATCAAGAAAATAATTGAAAAGTGGTGTAGTTGAAGCATAGTGACTTATTGTTATCTCCAAAATAAGTCAGTATCTCTCAGAAAAACAGCCTTCTTTCTATTAAGATGGTCCAAATTTGATACCATGGAAACACAGCCATGAGGAAAAGCAAAATCTGGAATATCATATTTCAGTGCTGTCTGAAAATTCTGCATTGGTTTATATATCACTAAAAAACCCCTAAGTGTTTTCATTTATGTTTTTGCCAAGGCTAGCTACACTTTCTGCTAAGTGATTTATAGACTTCAATCTCTACATGATAGGACAGCGTTTCTCTAAGAATTTGCTGTTGAAAAGAAGGCAGGACAGTTTGTTCAGAATTAGAATTCTGGATACCTTACCTTGAGTATTTAAGAACCACAAAGCAACTCAAGTGAAGAGATCATTCCACTTGTGCTGACTTTGTTTTTTGTTTTGTTTTTTCCTATTTGGCTTTGTATACATTCTGAAAATATTTCATGTAAATTGTCTCCCTTTCCTTTGCAAGCTCTTATATTTTTGTTGAACAGGATCACAGTTCTTTTATAGGGTATCAAATGTGAATGTTTAGGTAAGTTGGATATCGATGAGGGTAATACATGTGATTTTATTATTTCACCCAAGCACCAAGTGGTAGGTTATAAAAATAATATTATTTTCATTTTTCCCTAATCTCCTTCTGATGATCAAATTTAAATAAGAGAATATTATTTATTTTATTATTTATTAAAATTTGAACCATTTGGATTAGAAAAATTCAATAATTGATAATTTACTATTGGGTGAACTATAACAAGCTATAGGAGACATAAAAGAGAAGCACCACATCTCTTGGAGAAGCTCATAAAACATGTGTCTTGAGAGAAGTCAACTTAAATGGAAAAGTAATTCAAAGGCACAAAAAATATCACACTTGATTTTGGAGGCATCAAAAACATATTAAAAGAAGTAGTAGTAATTAAAGTTGATCCTAAACAGTGGATTGAAGAATTTTTATTGGTGGAGATAGTAGGAAATTATAAGAGCAACAGCTTGGAGAATAGAAAATGCAAGGCATGTTCAAGAACTAGTAAGAAAGAGAATTTGGAGCATGGATTTTCAAAAAGTTTCACAACTGCAGATGAAAATGAATGGAAAAGTAGAAGCCATATTGTAGACATTCTTGAATACCGGTCTAAGAAATTGCTGTTTAATTTTCTATGTAATAAAGAAACACTACAAGTTTTTATTATGAAAAGAAGTTTATGTGATGACAGCCACACTTTAGGAAGACTATTATGATAGAGTTGAACATAATGAATTGAAACAGGCAAAGAAGGAAAGTGAAGAGACCAATTAAAAAGCTATTGCATTAGCTTAGGCAAAAGATAATTAGAACAAGATCAGAGTAACAAGAATGGAGACAGGTAGATGAATGTGAAAAAATTGTTGAATGCAATTCTACAGAACTGACAACTAATTAGATATGAGGGGTGAGAGCCAGGCAGGCCAGAGTTGAAACCAGAGGTTTTTAGCCAGGTTGACCCCTAAAATGGTGGTGCCATTACTGAAATAGGGAAACCGACAGTGAGCTGCTGCAGAAGACAGACAATTTATGTTCCAAATAGGTTAAAATTATATGAAGGGTCTGTCTAAATGGAAATATGCAAATAGCTGCAGGAAATGGAAATCTGAACATTTGAAGGGCACATGAAGGAAGACATATGTTAATAAATGAATCAAAGTCAGATAAGATTTCCCGAAGTACTATTACCCAAGTGGAGCATATGGAAAGGAGGAAACATAAGACTGTCTACATTAGGGGAGCCAGAAGAGCCAGAAGAGCCAAGATGGGAGCTGTCAGGAAGACGAGGGAACTAAGGCCACACTGCCACTGGCAGCACAGAGAGAGCAGCAGTAAAGGAGCATCGGAGCCTCACAGCGAGAGAGACTCAGTCCCTACGCTGGTGATTAACTGTGAGGCTCATTGCTGAATTTTGACGATCGATGATGAAAGCAGACATTAGGTTACAAGGGTGTGAGTTTATAACTTTAATAAATTTCAAGAAGGAAGAGTACTAACTTGATTGCTTAGCAGAATAATAAAGTTTCTTTTTCTTATATATGATTTGTATAATTTAATACTTTTTTTATGCAAAGGACCTTGTAAGAACCAAAATACCAAATCAGAGTGGCTAGTTCAGTGGTTTTCAAACTTTATTGGTCACAGCCACAGTAAGAAATACATTTTTTATATTATAACCTGTTACCCAGAAACTTGCATGTGTCAATGTCTATCTGTCTATCTACCTGTCTCATACCTATCTCTATTTTTGTAAAGGCAAAAAATACACGTATTGGAGAATGAATTTGTGAATAGTAGTTCAATTTGTTTACATATTTTGCAAGATTAGAGTTCATTACTCATTCATGTACTATTGATTTAATGCATTACAAGAGAGGTAAAATATGGTACTAAAAGCACCTGACCAATAAAAGTTGTGACCCTCATCTCTACACTTCATTGCCTTTTTCAGCATCTCCTGGGTTAGCAGACCAACAAAAAGAAAAATGGGGTGTTTGCAGCATTACCATTTTTCAGCAAATATCTTTGTATTTTATTTCAAAGATTCCAGTACACCATGCAGCTTTATCCAGTGGGAATGCACTACTTACCTTTGAGAGAAGTTTGTAACAGCCCCCAGACTGCATATTAATATAGCCCAGTTTTCAAGTCTTGTCAAGGCTTCTTTTTGTGGGGTAAGATAATCAAAGATGATCAGCAGCCCTGGAGCAGGCCTGGCTGGTTGCATTCTACCAGTGTTGTAATGAAAACAGGGCATGTTGTATAAGACCTAATTATTAGCAAAAATTATAAAATTGTCAGAAAAATCTTACCCATTTTCTGTAGGAAGCTTTCCTTCTTTTCTCACACTAAATCGCATTACTTTGTGTTTCAAATAAAATGTAGTTTGAAATTTGTATGTAAATTAGAAAAGGCATTCTTTTATTTTAAGTAAAACATTTATTCACACTTCATATGTTGAAGCACCAGTGGCAATTTGATCTGAGTTTTCAGAAAAGCTTTATATAGCTTTTATGACCCCCCCCCTTTTTTACCTGAAGATATTCAATAATACTTATTCTACTGTCAGGCCAATATGCATAAATTCTACTCATATTTTTCTTTTGATTCATGAAAAGAGGACACTTTTGCTGAATTTTTCATATCTTTATGGTTGGTGTATAATTATTAAAATTTTAACATTGTCAATTTGATGTATTGTTAATTCATTAAAAACCAACCATATTTATTTGTTGATTATTATTGGTAGTATTTAGTTGTGATATTTTACCATTGAATAGGAACTTAAAGTTATAAATAAGGGCACTTATTATCACTAAAAATAAGTTCCAGTCATCTAAATACTGGATAGAATTACTTGAACTTGTAAAATAAATAGGGGAAAATATTTTTACAATTTTTTTTTCTGGTTCAGTTTCAGCCCTTCTTGTGTCATGGAAGGCCCTGATGATTTCCGCTGCACAGCTTGTCCACGTGGATATGAAGGCCAGTACTGCGAACGGTATGAACAGTCATGATACATGGAGCATAATGACGCTTAGAGATAGTATAATAAAGGATCATAATAGAAAAGTAACCATTATTTTCATATCTTTATTATTTTCATAGTCACTAGTTGTTTATATGCTTTCAAAACTACTTTCCTATCTTTAGAGTTTTTCCAAAGAAACAAATTATTTCACAATTTTGTAATCTGTTTTAGTGTATAAATATAAGGTGTCCCAAAAAAATGTATGCACACACTTTGAATAATTATAAAAGCAGTGTTTATTAAAATACATTTCATTTTCAAAATTGAGCTATCAGCTATTAAAGTGTGTATATATTTTTTAGGATACCTTGTATATATACATACTAACATATATATGCATATATACTACTATAAGAGAGAGAGAGGAGCTTTATAAGAACAAATAAATCAATTTCCAAAGCTTATAAGTAGTTAACAATAACAAAAAGCTGACCACACATAATTCTCATTTTAGTTTAGTGGAAAATACTGGCTAGCACTAATTACATGCATGTCACTGTTCTCAGCACTATGGCACTACAGCAGCAAGTGTATACATAATTCAGAATATCAATGGTACCAAGCATTCTTAATTAGAACAACCCAAACAATAGAGTGTTTGTTATTTGTTTCTCCTTTTCAACAGGCAAACAGTATTAAAATGCTTCCTCTCACCACATGTTTTATAAAATCTGATCATGGATGTATGTAGTTACTCAATTGAATTCTAACTATAACACAAATGGTAAAGTAAGAAGCACAATTTCAGACTGACTGTCTAGTGAGTTTGAAATTAATATCTTCTGGATCCATATTTTCTGTAAGATCAGTGTCCTGGATATTCAAGCATATCGCCACCACTTTTAGTATGTTTTAGGTATTATCTCTGAAGTAACAATGAGTAACTAATATTAACTATGAACATTACACATGCATGCTAATTATTGCATAATTGACAATAGTATAAAATCTTATGAAGACCCAGCCTAGCTCTACCAGCTTAGCTGGGTTCCACTTTTCTCACCCATAATATCAGAAGAGATGATGTTCTACCTACTTGAAATTAACATTGTGCAGATCAAGTGCACAGAGGATGAAGTTGGTGCCTGCACAGAGCATCCTCTCCCATAAGAGGGGCTAAAAGGCCTGAGAATTGACCCCACCTTCCTCCAGTGGTTCAAAGTCAATGACTGACTAGCATGAGAGTACAAAAGTCTAGCTTCTTTGAACCAAAATTAAACAAAGTTTGTGATGTTATTTATGCTACAGAGCTTTTTATGAAATTAGGCTGGAATAGAACCTAGAATCACACCATTGCTTGGATCATTTCTTTTCCATGTCCTGCTTTACCCACTCCTTTGCCAGATTCTTCTAGAAGCACTTCCTTAAATTATGACTCTCTTTGCAAATATAAACCAATATGAATTTTTCCGTCACTCATTTAAGAATTTTCTTTTGATAGCAACAGTGATGGTTGTGTTAATAGTGGAAATAAGTAGGTAACTAAATAATTAAACTTAAGTTTTATAAATTCCAACACATTTTTCTATAAGTTTGCAAAATATATGTGCAAATAATTCTATATGTGGTAACTCTAAACACAATATCCAATATATATATAACAGTGCATTCCATGTCAGCAGAAATTAGCAGCAATTAAATAACTCAAAGCAATACAAAATTCAAAAATATTTCCATTTGTTTTGGAGACTTATACATCACTTGAATAGATGTATATTTTAATATCCACCAGTGTGCTTTGGTATTCATGCTTAGGCTAATATTCATTTCATGCCCTTGTAAACTCCAGCAGGATGATGACTAGAAACATCCCTGAACACCAAGGAAATTATCTGCAGTAATTTATGAAAAGAAATGTTTGATAGCATAGCTACATTTATAAATTTAAGTCACCACTATCTATGAAAGCATGTCTGTAGAAAAGACTGGAAGGTACACTGAAATGTCAATTATTGTCTTCAGACAGAGTGATTACAGAAAATTTATTTTTAAATACCCATTAATGTTTAATAAATAAGAGTTGGCAATTTATATAGCATATAGGTGATCAGGGTCATACACTATCAAAGGCAAATGGCTTGAATTGTTTTTGCAGTTCTCCAGTGTTGTTACAGCTTTGCAGTTATCATCTCTAACATAAATGATCAGGTTCTATTTCCCTGAAAAATTGCTTTTATTCAGCTAAATTAAGCCAAAGGTCTTGGTTAAATTTTTACTGTAACCTTCCAAATAAATTTGTTCCACTTCTGAGAGATTCTTAAATCATTTAAATCACCTTATGACCTGCCCAAACTCATCAGCTTAGGCCTAAAACTGCTTAAACGTCCTGAGTATCTCTGCAGAAGTATAGAAAACCCTCCCATGCTCTATCTTAGTTACTCTTGTAATAAACTCTGAGTATTTAATCTGAGCCGGCACAGAACAGAATTCTTTCACCTGCAGATGTTAAGAAACAATTTAAGTGGTTTTATTTAAATAAAACTTTTATCAAGCATTTGTAATGTTATATTGGAAATAAAATAACAATTAAAACCATAAATGTATAAAAGCCTAATGGTACAGACAATTTTCTTCTTGCTTTGCCTTTTCTAACCTGGCCAGGATAAAATAACTTTCACAATCAGCCATGAACATTGTTACAATACCAGGTCACTAAATATGGCCGAAGATTATTTGGCCAGTGTTAATAACATTTGGCTCCGAAGTCCTACTGTCTCACAACTTCCTCCCCTACTTGCCTTTTGAACAAAAATTCTAACTGTTGATTACATTTTGGCTGACTGTATGTAATTTACTGTCCAATCTGGGATACTTGAAGGAGAGACAAGAAGTGTTTTTAATAACTAAGCCAGGACAAAAAGTAATCTGGGACCATTCTGGGAAAACCAGAGTATATGTTCTTGCTAGAGCCTTGTAACGTTACCACTTCCAGTAACACAACCAAGGTTGTATCCTTAGGTGAATGAATGCGTGGATGGGTGGAAGAGTCATTGAGTGGATTTCACTATGGATTTATCCAGTGGCTTTCCCTTGTAATTTCTCTAATTGATGTTATATATTTCATTTGTATAACATTAACCCATGTCCATGGGCACACAATAAAAAATTCATCTTGAGGAAGGTCTGTTAGAAAGGAAAGAGCAATAGAAGTAAATAGAAAATTTAGTTTATTGTCACTTAACTTGCTTCTTGACACTCAATAAAATTCATGGGTTTGTCATTGGTGGAGTGGTTCTTGCTCCCATTCAGGACAGAAATCAAGAAAGGAGACTAAACAGATTCAAAACAGAAGAGGTTTACTTAAAACTGGGTGAGAGGAAACAGGGAGAAGGAGAGAGCTGGCATCAAGTGAGCACACACTGCCAGTGCGGCTCCCCAGCTGCTGCGTGTCTGGCTTCCGGAGCTGGGCTTCTTCACGCAGGGGCGAGTGGACCTCTGTTCGCCAGGTTCCCACCGTGGCTGGCAATGACTGGCCCAGGCACGAACACATGGGTCTGGGGAGTACGCGAAGGGAAACTTTAATCTAGGAAAGATTCAAGAACTAACTGAAGGACATTCCCATCCATCTAAGAGAGGCTCAGCCTGTCTCGCATTGAATGATTCAGTCATTTTGATATCTAAAATGCATGAGTCTAAGAAAGGCCAGGAGTCAATATGTAATTTTATTTATTTCTAATTTTTTAAAAAAAGACTTCCAAAAATAGTTTATAATCTAGAGCAGTGGTGGGCAAACTATAGTCTACAAAATTTCGCCCATTATCCTGGTTCTGTATGGCACTCAAGCTAAGAATGGTTGTTGTAGGCAAGCATTTACAATCAATTTGATGATAGGAAGCACTAAATTTGAACCCTAGTTAAGTAAATTTGATACCTCAATAAGAATTCCATTCTTTTCACTAGTAGGTTGGTTTTACTTAGTAGATTATCATTATAAAATAATTTGTACCAATTATTTTTATTATTATTATTTCTTGAATTTAATCAACCAAAAAAAGTTGGAAATTTTATTTCCCTCTCACTACATGATTTTGATTTTGCCTCTTGACCTGCAAAGCTTAAAATATTTATTATCTGGCTCTTTCCAGGAAAACTTTGCTGACTCCTGATCTATTATTGACTCTCGCTTTTAGTTTTGTTTCATTTAAAACAACACACGCAACAGCAGCAATTTAGAGACATGAATTCATTCATCTCCTTTGCTTTGTCACTGTTTCCATCCAGGTGTGCCCCTGGCTATACTGGCAGCCCAAGCAGCCCCGGAGGCTCCTGCCAAGAATGTGAGTGTGATCCCTATGGCTCAGTGCCTGTCCCCTGTGACTCGGTCACAGGGCTCTGCAAGTGCCGACCTGGAGCCACGGGGCCCAAGTGTGATGGCTGCGAGCACTGGCATGCACGAGAGGGCACGGAGTGTGTTTGTACGTATATACTAACTTAGCTGTTAGTTCTGGGGCCTTGGTTCCATTTCTGTCTCACTTCCAGTGAGAGACTTTTTTTCTTTGTTTTTTGCAATAGCTAGTGCTTCATTCTTTCTGACACTGTCTGTCCACCTTCTGTTGTTTGCCTGCTGTTTTGTCTCCATCCTGCTGAGCCAAGACCAGCTGAGAAAATCCTCAGCATGCTTTAGTCGGTTCTTTGAAGACCTACAACAAAGCTCCTGGAGGCAGATTTTATTTTTATTTTGTCCATCTCAGATTTGGCATTGTCTTTGTGACAGCTTAAAGATCTGGGTTTTTTCAATTTTTTAGAGTCTTCTAAATTTGTAATTGGCTGGACAGACACTTTTAGCCTTGAATGGCAGCTGACTTTTCCTAGCTTTTACAGAAATCCTTGGGCTTACTGCTTCATAACTTTCTCTTGAACTGTAGAACCTGGAAGCATTGGCAGTGAACTCAAGTATTTTTATTCACATGTACAATAAATGAAGAGCATTTGGCTTGCTCTTTCTCTCTCTTTTTTAACCTGCTTCTGGATTCAGTAATTCCATGTTGAAAGCACATCAAATACCAGTAGTTATATAATTATTGGATCTTATACAAATTCTAATCTAATAGAGGTCATTTTTAAATTTACAGAGGGACTGTTATGTATTTTTCTCCTTGAGGGAATTTACATTAGTGGTCTTAATTCTTTCTAACAAAGAAAAATATAAAATATTTCAGTTCTTTTATTTCACTATTTACCTATTTTCATGTATTTATACAATGCATGCTAGTATTTCTTGTTTTAACATCTTATGTCTGTCTAACTGTTAATAGCATCTTAATTAGAATTTTTGTGTGCTCTAGTTTCGTAAGAGTTACCTCAAAAACTAAGGATGGGAATATAGATTTTTAAATTATTTTTCTATGTATTTAAAAAATTTAATGGAAATGTATTACATTTAAATGTATTACATTTAAAATTAAAATAAATGTCAAGGTTTGGGGAGAGAGATATACATTTACATTATCATATTCAGTTAATGACATAAACAGATTCGCTTTTCTCATTTTATAAAATGTCTCCTACTGTGGAAAAATATGCCATGGTTCTATTATGTTGGTCTTTCCCAGCACTCAGATATCCTTCTAGTTTTGAAATGAGATAGCAAAACAGGACACAAGTGAGGACATAACTCTGACTTATCCTCAACTTTCTTTTTAATATCTTTCTACATCCATTAACTAGATTAGAGCAAGAGACCAAAGACTGGATTCACCTGGCACATTTGATCTGCAGGGCCTGTTTTACAACGTGTGACTGTAGTGGGAGTGGATGGAGGTAGCCTGGTTCAGGCAAGGGAATATCCATGTAGTAAGGGAAATGTCTTCTCAGAAAAGCTTCCTCTGAGCTTAGAGCCCACGTTACCTCAATGGAGAGTAAAGATAAAATGGGCTAAAACAACACACACAAAAATTTAAGTATACACAATATCAATATGGTAATTACGATAGAGCCTTGTCCATCAGAAATTGTCACGTGGAGTCCTATCTTCTATGCAGGTGAAAAGATACATGAGCTGGGTGCTCAGATTCCCTTCAATGCCTTTTTATTTTTTCTAATAGGAATATTTTGGGACAGCTCTACAATGTGTACTTCTAGGTGCACATTGGTGATTTCTGAATAGATATTTAATGGAGCCTCCCAAATCAGGACTTCTTAGTAAGTTAGGTTAATACAAATCCAGTCTTCTCTTTCAACTCTAATTCATAATTTACATACTATTTTATAAAATAAAACAACTGCCTGCCTTTCTGAAATTGGAAAATGAGTGAGAAAGCTATTATTTATTTAATACTAAAGTTTTATATTGTGAAACAAAACTTGACTTTGTTCATGTCCTATTTTCTACAGACTGGTAATTAACATCAAACAACTCACGTGATGTTTAAAACAGATTATGAGTGGCATAGTAAAACACATTACTCTCTTAGAGAACAAAAATTAAAATTAATAGCTGTTGGCAAAAATGTTATTCCATAGAGAGTACCTAAAATAGCATTTTGAAAATATCAAATTGATATTTCTATTTTATTCATTACATATGAAATATTAGGAATATATCAGCTTTATTATTTATAATCACAACTTATCTCAAATATAACCTTTAAATGTTGTTTTGCACGCCAATGTTGTAAAAAGCAATCACAGTGTATTTTTTACCTGCAACCTAAGGTAAACCGAGTTAAATATGGTAATGCATCTTAACTCTATAAAAGACACACCTTCCAGCCAGCTGGTGAACCCTGAGGTCTGAAGTTTTATTCAAACTTGATACTGATCTGCAGAGACACAGTCAAAATTATTTTTAATAGCCAGTTGCCACCAAGGATCTCATCACAATAATGCAGAGACCCTTATATATCTTCACTAAAATAGTGCTGTCCTCATAATCAAAGGTAATTATTAATGGCATTTATTGCTCTCTATATATGAGAACAGGAGCAAAATAGTGGGATGTGGTTCATCACTGTATAGAAAATGGGACTTTCTATAATAAGAGATGACAAAAACCATCAGTTGACCCCCAGATGCTACTGAATGAGCTTTGCTTTTTGATCATGTGATCACCCTCTGTCCTAGACCCTTAAATGCCATCCTCTCTGTGCTCTCATTTAATCCCTAAGTGCTAGTTCCTATTCAAAGGCCAGTAAGTTTACTCTACTTTTCTACAGCTCTAAGCCATGGTGTATTGTTCAAATCCAGGGATCAGAAAGGCTATAAAACCAACTTCTGTTCATCCTGTTAGCACCTTCTCTGCATCAGTTTTGTTAGTAAAAGATGTTTTGAGTTTCTTATTGTCAACCTCCTAGCATAGGTCCAGGCTAACAACGTTGTAGAAAAGCAAATACTCTGATTCTAGATAATCTTCCTAGTTATTGGCGATTAATCTCAATGGTTTGTCTATCACATTGAGAAAGGTGTTGTATTAATGGACTTAAGGAGTTGTTTGGTTGAGTTGTCATGTAGAGGAGGCTGATCACAATTTCCTTTATTTTCAGTCAGACTTTATTTATTTATTTGTTTGCTTGTTTGTTTAAAATATATCTTGATTTCAGAGAGAGGAAGGAAGAGGGAGAGAGAGATAGAAACATCAATGGTGAGAGAGTCATCATTGATCGGCTGCCCCCTGCACGCTCCAATTGGGAATCAAGCCCGCAACCCGGGCATGTGCCCTGACCAGGAATCGAACCCCGATCACCTGGATCCTAGGTCAATGCTCAACCGCTGAGCCACGCCCGGCCGGGCCCAGACTTTATTTCAAGAGTAAACATCTGATTACAGTTTTCATTCTACTATATTCAAGGAGCTTACTGACCTCACAGAGCAATAGAATTAAATGATTTCAAAGTAGGAAGAAAGCTTTTAAGTCAGAGAGTGTAATCGTCTCTTTTTCTGATGCAGGAAACTTGCTATTTGAAGGCTCTTGCAGGCCTGAATCCTGGCAGGCTATGTACAAGTTGTGTGTGACATGACTTAATTTTTCTAAGCCTCACTTCATCATTAAATATGTAAGCATAATAGATGATCAAAAAATTCTAGACATTATTATCTCATGGTTATTATTTTATTATTTTTTTCAAAAGCATAATATTCTGAGCAGCCCGTCAGTCCCTGATGAAATATTTAAGTTAGGCTGAATTTTTATTTTCTATAATTATCTTTAATTCTAGTCTTCAACTCACTGAAAACCTCTTTTATGACCACCTTACACTTTCTCATCTCTTTAAGTTTATATTTATAGATTAATAAATATCTTGATTGTGACTAACTTTCTCATCTTTAAAATGAAGATATTAAAAGCACTTCATAAAATTTCTGTGAACATTAGATAATGATGGCAAGACACAACATATTGCCTGCCATGTAGTGAATATTGTGTAGATAAAAGCTACTATTCCATTATTATTTATAGGACTATCAAAGATTTTGTTTTCCTGAAAAGCTATACCATACTGGAACCATATTTAACTTGGTTTTCATATATATTTTTATACAGGATTTTTTAAACATAGATATTAAATAAAATTTATATATTAATATAAAATTTAAAATTAAAACATACAAATTTATAGTATATATATATATATTATAACTTGGTACGTGAACAAATTCATCGGCTTCACCTAAAGCTTACAAAATACCTTTCTCTCTATTTAAAGAAATAACAGACAAAAAAAAAGCCTTCTTAATCAATTTAAAACCAAATTTTTACTTTAGAAGCTCTTCATTTATATATAATAATAAACTCTAAATATATGCTAATCTAAAAGTTTCTTTTTGAAAGGGAAAGGGAAAAGAGAAATATAAATTCATACTCAAGGAACTATCAATGGCCTTAAATGTAGAAGAGTTAAACTAAAACATGCATATTAACACAAATTTTATCTTTTGTTGGAAATGTATATTTACTCATTTTATCCCTATTTGATTAGAGCAGACAATTTATGTATCTTTAGCTAAAATCGGTTAATAGGTTTGGCCTTTTCAAAAGTATTCAATGCACTCATTCCAGCTTCAGCTTCTTTGGTTTGGATGCAGCGTGTGAATTTTCTGTGACAGTAAGCCAGGACTTATGCATGGGGGACTCTGGGAGAAGGGCAGTATTTTGTACTAATTGCTAACAGAAAGATCTGTAATGTCAGCTGCATGATTTCCTCCTTACATGTGCCCAGCTATAACGGTATGAATTTAGTACTGCATCTATTAATATTAGGTACAAATTTACCCTGGGACTTTTATAGGCAAAGTCTCAGAAACATTTAGTCATGTAAAATATAATCATAGTCTTGAAATATTTGGTTTTGCTCCCATGCATTTTAGGAAGGATCTCATTTTATAATCTTATTTCTGTTGCTGAGGAGAATGGTTTAAAGATTTTTGGGAGGGAAGGGGGTCCTGATTATTAAATAGATGTTAATTTACACTGAACAGT